GGCATTAATAATTACAACATTCAGTATAAACACAGCATAGATCCTGTCAAACCTATTTCATGGCCGACAGAGTTGCTTCAATTATTCATATTATCCATATGTGGGTGGCGGGGGAAGAATGGCTCTGTCTGTGCTGAGATGTCAGCACTGTCTTAGGAGTCTTCCATGCTTTTAGCTATGTAAACAGCAGGCAACTCAGAACATGTAAGAATACTTCAGAATAGACAGCCTGACAATTATATTAAAAATACAAAATGAGATTTAAATGAAACCAAGGTCTCGAGTGCTGCAGGGTCTGTTAGCTTAAACCCACCGCTGACAATAAATGTGACTTTCTTTGTTGAGTGACATACTGACAGGGGTATGAGGTGCATATTTTCAGAAGAAGCGAATATAGACAGTATTAGACAGAGTGTAAAATAGACTGTAAAAATCAGAAATGAATTATTAAAACAATTATAGATAATTTTACATTGACCTCAGAAAATAGCCAGCACCTTGAATGCACATCTTTAAGTTTATGGAAGTGCAGAGTGCATTTTATATGTGAAACACAACTGTCATGGGAGGACAAGCACTGCGCTCATTTTGACCTTCTAACCCAGAAAAGCTCTTCACAGCCAAACCAGAAGTGTTTGTGTGTGTGTGTGCATATGTGTGAAGGAGAAATTGAGCCGTCTCCATGACTCTCCCCGCCTTGTGATCACGCTTCAATACACACACTCCTGACGTTTCACACACCAGCGGGCACACTGTTGCTACACCCTCTCTCCCTCATGTTCCATAGATTCGCTCTCCCATCACTCCTCTAACACCTCTTCACCCCTCCTGTTGCTCTCTGCGTGTCTCTCTCCGTCATCCCAGCCTTTTTCCACCTTTTTTCTTCCTCTGTCTCATAACATCTCACACAATCTTGGAGGATTTCCAGAGTAAACAATACCAATTTAATTCCATCAGAAACTGGTCAGCAAGGACTATGGATGTTGTTGGGATTGTATCTGTCTGATCATGTCTGTGTGCGTTTACACAGTTGGCGGCTTCGAATCATGGACCAATGCAAAAATGATGTAAATCTGGACTCTGTGCATCAGAAGAACAGCACGAAGCAGAACACTGCTGCAGAACTTTAAACCACTGCACATATTGTTTTTTGTGCTTATATTAATGGTTCAGCCAGCTTGCCAACATTTTATCAAGTCGGCAGCCACCCAGGATAAAATCTGTCTCTAATTTGGCTCATTAGGCTATCAGAAATTCCCCTGTAAAGACCAACGGCTTATCTGTTAAAACTGCATCCAGTTGGCACTGTACAAAATTCGCAACAACTGTCTTTGTATTTTGGAACCAAAACAATAAAGTTGTGAGCCGTAAAATCAAAACAGTGAACTGAAGGATTCTAAAACGCTCTGTGTAGCTGAAGGGAATGACAAATCACATCAGCAATAATTTCTTCAATATGAGCAACTCTTTTCTTTTCACATAACAGCCATGTGATTCATTGTTAATGTAGGAACATAGATTATCCAGCCTAAAATATTCGGCTCTGCACTTTGCAGTGGAGGCTCTGTGCCTCTCCGGCCACAGATGCCCAACCCAGCTGCCCTGTTTGGCTCTGAAATGAGGCCCAAATGAAGAGTTTGTCATGGACCAGTGAGCAGTTCACCTGAGAAGCCTCTCTCTCTCTGTCTATTTCCCTCCAACACGCAAACACATACACAGAGGGATGGAATAAGGGCCAGGGTGTGAGCCAGAGAATGACCTTTGAGAATTGATCCATCCTTGTTTTGTATGAACAGACAGCCACACAGGAGCTGTCTCCATTTTTCACTCATCACAGTCTTCACCATAGTACGGTGACCGGCATCACCCGTGGGACCTTAGGGTGCCCTGGCTAGGGTGATTTAAAATCGATTGTTAATGCAGCTAGCGTGTGTGCACAACATCTGTTTTTCCAAACAGTCCTATATGATGTTATTACTTAACCAGAATTGCTTCAGACATGAAAGGACGCTCCATATTAGAGTAAGGAGCAGTTCAAATTCTGGGAGAAGAGCAAGCGCCTGGGTAATTAAACCAGCCTTGAATCAAAAATAACCAACTATGGCTAATGAATAGGCTTTGATAATTCCTTCCAGTTTCTCCACTTTTATGCTAACTGCTAATTTAACACCAAATCTGGGTTTTTTGCAAGAGAGAAAAGAAGTCTGGATTTCTCCCAGATGTGACTGCTACAGTCTGATAACTGTTAGGAGTTGTGACAGCGCACATGTTCATCGGCTCTTTTATGCATCTCAGCCACACTGTTTTACCTCGACAGCTAAGAATGTGAGAGCAGCGACTGATTGGGGCAAAACGAGGAAGTCAGTGCACTCCAGAAGAAGAAGATCATGATGAAATAAATCAGTAAACAGATGAGCTTTTAATCAGAATCTCTTTATGCCAGCACTCTGTGGGAATTTTGCAACTCATCAAACCCTAAGTATTCTCCCCCACTGGACGACGGGCAGCCTCCCAGAATGCTTTGCTGCATTGGCCTTTTCAATAATGTAGAGGGTTGAGAGAGGGGAGATAAAATGAGAGAAGAAACGATTTCCTGGCGCTGTGGGAGCCCCCAATGTGACATTTCCCTCTGGCGAGGCCCTCAGTGTGTGTGTGTGTTTGATGGCCCTGTGCCAGACTAATGATACCCCCTCCTGGCATACACTCTTGAGGCACAAAACTCTCCTGCTAGTGATGCCACATGTGCCCTTTAGAATCATACCAAAGGGAAAGAAGGGAGAAAAGTGGGCAGAGAATAGCAAAGGAGTGTGAAGAGTAAACGCAGAAGGGCTGGAAATAAAGGGAAGAGAAAAGGTTAATGAATAGAGAAGAGTGACAGCGAAGAAACAGGAGCAATCATTCTGTTTAACCCATCAGCTCCACCCGCTGTCATTTCCTACTTCATTAACCGACCTCCCATTTGCAGCGTTGGGTGGTGTCCTTTTTCTCCACTAGGAGTCCACTGCCCCCCTACCTGGACACATGGCATCTATCATTACCCCCCAGCTTTAGCTCAGGGCCTGCAGAATGTCACACAGCTGGAGCATGAGGCTCTGAAGACAGATGTAAAAGACGACCAAGGTGAAGGTTAGTTATAGGAAGGATTGACTGTAGCTCCATGAGAATGCATCTCAAAGTGTTTGGTACCACATGGTCACCCAGTTATCATGGAATTGTAGATATTCAAATATTCATCTGGAGCATTTTAAGGACTTTTTGACAATGGTTACTGTCAAAATTTTTTGTAATTTTTTTAGAATGACAGGTGTCCTTCCAAAAACAGCCAAAGAAAACATGAATTATGCAAAGAGTAGGAGCTGGTTTGTGGAGATAAACAACTAGCAGAGCTAATTTTCCAGTCTGGAGCCATTAAATCATTGCAGAAGAAGCGAGATGATGTTATTAAAAGAGCTCCAGTCAAACCTGAAACAGTGAGAGAAAAGTAGAAAACATGATGGAAATGTGGCCTTTATGTTTGAGGAGCATTACAGTGTCCTCACCGCTCTAAACTTTGCAAATTGAAAATGCCCATAAAAACCAGCGGATAGAAACCCATGCAGAGGCAGTTGCAGGCAGCACCAGTTGATGATCCGTATAGATGACAATAAAGAAACAGCACTATTTTTGAACTGCAGTGGTGAATTAGTCCTACATGAAAGGGCAAAATGTAAACTCAGACTGTTATTTCATATTAACATGATCCTGTTTGGCTGCTTAAGCTTCCAGAAAAGTTTAGTCAAGCAAGAGGTTGTAATATCAAATTATTATAGCCTATTAAAAAAACGTCCCCTTCTCCGACTTGTAAGTTCAATGCAGCCAATGTTCCAAACTTCAAGTCCAAATCTGAGTCATCAGTCCTGAAAATCAGGACTTGAGTTGGACTCAAGTCTGAGTCCTGGACTCGAGTACTACCACACTGGTACCATGTGACATTGTCCCCTAACGACAGTTATCAAATTTGCACAAATCAAAATATATAGACTAATTGTATGTAAATCAGTATTTTTACTATATTTTAACAGCATACACATATAACACCATTAAAAAAAGACACAAATTACTTCTGTGTCTTCTAAGTTTTCCAACTTCTATTAAAAATACCTTAGTACACTGAGAGATAAGTCTTTATCCGATCATTTACCATCAGAAGCTCAAGATGTAAAGATGATTCTGTGTCAGGGACCTTAAAAGAGGTCACAGCTCAGTGTCGGCGTTTGTTTACACAGAGAAAAGAGATGGCTGGCTGGTTGTGTGAGACCAACTACTGTACAAAATAAAGTGAGAATGTGAAGCCGCTGTTAGAGGGCAATGCTTCCAAACATGTCAGACTTTGCATGTGAGAATAACCTGAGAAGAGGCATGCATTTCAAACTGTAGCCACACGTACAGATGAACATGTCCAGACACAATGCTTGTTTAGGGATCAGTAAAAATGTAGGTATCACCAAAACACTATAGAACTCCTTTTTCATGATTTGACTATTTAAGTCTGAATCTACACAACACAACGTGATGAAAGGTCCCAGTTACTAGTGGCTATCCTACACATCGTTTCAAATACATGACCTTGATTGTCTGAATGTCCCACTTAGTTTTTTAAGTGGCGGTCTGCCGCTAACCCTTGATTCACATATGCCAAAACAGACACCACTGATTCTCAAGAGACAGGTTCCATTTGATGGACAAAATCAGATTTATGTTTCAGACACTTTCTCTAATCTTTGCTTTGTTGTTCTGAATGACACTATATTTCCTCTTTATGCCCATAACAATCGCTCAGACAATCCCTAACCTTTCAACTTACATTAACCCATAAACTGTTCTGTTTGATGATGTATCTCAGGTGGACATTTTACACAAGCCAGAAAGATGGCTACACATTTTGACTCAGGGCTGAAGAGAGCACACTTTCCTAGTCCAATGCTGACCTCTTGTGGATCAAACAAAGCACTGTGAGCAACTCAGCTGGCACCAGTGTTCATAAGCAGCATTAACAAAAACTGTGATTCCTTCTTTTTCAGCTTTCTTATTTTGGTGAGCCCTGCTCCAGCCTGTCGCAGCAGCAGCTCCCTTGCCAGATCTGGCCGGCCGCTCTTGGCCAAGCAGTGGGCCAGCTGAGAAGCCTTGGGTTGGTGTGGAGCAGCGGGCAGCCCCCTCCTCCACATTGCCAGGACGTGGAAGGCCTGAGCAGACAGGTCATCCCCGGCCCGGAGCTTCACCAGCTGGATGGCGCTACGACGGAGATGCAGGGAGAGCACCAGCAGGGGTATCTCCTCCTCTGAGAGCTCCCCAGACAGCCAGAGAAGAAGAGAGTCTGACAGGGAGTCTGGTGGGTGGGCAGAAGAAGAAGGATGGAGGTAAGGCAGCGAACTTACTTGAAAGTTACTTACTGGTGCTATTACAGTCATGCAATTATATTTTCAACTCTAACATTTAAGATCTATCTAAAAAACCTCATGTTTTGTGCAGCCCCATATAACATTTGAGCTGAAATGGTATGAATGATTTAGACACAGGGAATAATGCACTAAGAGGAACTGGAAGAGAAAGACAGGACAGTATGGATGACATATAAGTGAAAGATCATTCACACACCTGTCTCCTCACATAGCTTCACTCTGGCTGTAATGGGCTGATTAATGCTTCTGACTTTCTGAAAAAGAAACGCAGTGGAAATACAGAATGTTCTTTGATCAGGAAGATCAAAGTTGAAACAGAATGTGACTTTTTCTGAGAGCACTTCCTTCACCTTGGGTAAAGTCAGAGACAGTTTACAGACGGGATCTCCCAGGAGCTTCGTGTCCGTCAGAACAGGTTTGTCACTTCGCCACTCCAGCTGACCTCTGGTAACCTTGTAAAACATGACCGTTCCCTTGTAGTGAGGAGAGCTGTAGTTCCCAAACGGGTCCACTTCAGTTAGATGGACTAAAAGGTGATTCTTGCGCTGAGCGTGAAAAGTGATTTGCTCACCGTTTTGGTTGTTCCAAGTTCCTGTTGTAAAACAGGTACATGCACAATTTTTGTCATCACTTTTATGCTACTTGTAAACTGTGATAGACTGATGACCTGTCCAGGGTGCACCCCAACTCTCGCCCAGTGTCAGCTGGGATAGGGTCCCGCTCCCCATGGATGGACGGATGTAGCATGATATCTGCATTCATTTGTCTCAATGTGTTGTTGTGAAGCACTTGGCATGATTCACATCAGTCCGGGAGGTGGGGGCGGGGGGGGGTTGCCACTCCTCTATGAGTCTGTGCCCCAGCTTGGCCACCCCATCCAAAATTTTCTAGATCTGCTTCTGCAAAGTAAGCTGATTATATTTCTTATGCCAATATCATCTGTGTTTTAAAACAGTTTTCATTACACTCTTTTCTGTAAAAACTAAATGCTGTCAATCTAACTTTGGATCTATGCACCAAATAAATCACAAATTTAGTATGTCATGGAAAAAACATCAATGAACTGCAAAGGAAGAAGCAAGAAGCCCCAGAATTTGCAAGCATTCTGATGGCTGCCTGTGGAAAAGTAATTTATTTACTTCACTATATCATCTTTTGCATCCAGTGATGTAGCAACAAGCAGCAGGGTGACAGACCTGTTTTTATCTTTTTGCCTCTTTC